CCGTACTCCCTGCTCCTTCCCCTCACGGCATTGGCCGGCATGGGTGCTTGGGGCCAGTCCTTCCCGGCCCTTCCATAGAAAGACCGTCCTGTGCATCTCAGCTCCGTGACGGACAGGACAGGACAGGCTTCACTCCTGCTTCTCTCTGCCCAGCCAGCCGTCCAGTCGCCCATCCATCCATACCATCTTGCCAGCAGCTCAGAGCCGGTAGGGACCTTAGCAAGCCCCCCCACCGAGGGTTACAAACCCAAGTGCCAAAGGGACCATCACAGTGTGACATGTGGCCGGGCAGAAGGCAGTAGGGACTAATGGGGCCTGTGGCAATGATGAATTATCTACTCTGCGGAGAGACATTGTAATGGTCAGTAAAATGCACACACGTACACACATATGCACACATATCCATACATATGTACACATACATGCGCACATATCAACATGCACACATATGCACACTGGCTTGCAAAACAAAACATCTAGGGCCTATGGGCCTGATTAAAGTGACAATTTTCTTTTTTTCTAATTAATTAATTAATCTGAAAGGCAGAGTTATAGAGAGGCAGAGGCAGAGAGAGAGAAGTCTTTCATCCGATAGTTCACTCCCCAAATGGTCACAGCAGCTGGAGCTGTGCCGGTCCAAAGCCAAGAGCCTGAAGCTTCTTCCAGGTCTCCCACACGGGTGCAGGAGCCCAAGGACTTGGGCCGTCTTCTACTGCTTTCCCAGCCCATAGCAGAGAGCTGGATTGGAAGTAGAGCAACCGGGACTCAAACCAGCATCCATATGAGATGCCGGCACTGCAGGCAATGGCTCACTCACTACGCCACAGCGCTGGCCCCAAGAGCTCCTTTTTGAACACCTGTGGGTGCGGGGCTCTTGCTCACCCTGCCGTGGAGTCACAGAGGCACCTACACCACCCCAAGGAGCCTCCTTCGCCTGGGCTTTTGTATTTGTCTTTCTTTTGTCTTCACACAACCTTTAGACTTTGAATTCATTGCCTGCCTTGGCCCATAGTGCTGTGTCCATTGATCCCATAGGCCCTGTGATTCATGAATACCCCTCCCCCTCCCACTTCCCACTGCTCTGCGCACCCATTCTGATGCATTGCAGGTGTGTCTTTTGATTTGCATGTGTTGTAACCTACATGTTGTTTTCCTTTTTGAAGTTTTATTTTATTTATTTGAAAGGCAGAGTTACAGACAGAGAGATCTTCCATCCACTGATTGACTCCCCAAATGGCTACAATGGTCAGGGCTGGGCGAAGCCAAAGACAAGAGCCAGAAGTTTCATCTGGGTCTCCAACATGAGTGCAGGGGCCCAGGACTTGGGCCATTTTCCACTGCTTTCTCTGGCATCTTAGCAGGTAGCTGGGTCAGAAGTGGAGCAGCCGGGACTCTAACCAGAACGCATATGGGATGCCAGCATCGCAGGTGGCGGCTTAACCTGTTATGCTACAATGCCAACCCCAAGGTGCTTTCTTTTTTTTTTTTTAAGATTTATTTATTTATTTGAAAGAGTTAGAGTTAGAGAGAGAGAGAGAGAGAGAGAGAGAGAGGTCTTCCATCCACTAGTTCACTTCCAAATTGGCTGGGTTGCAATGGCTGGAGCTGGGCCAATCTGAAGCCAGGAGCCAGGAGCTTCTTCTGGGTCTCTCACACAGGTGCAGGGGCCCAAGGACTTGGGCCATCTTCTGCTGCTTTCCCAGGCCACAGCAGAGAGCTGGATTGGAAGTAGAACAGCTGAGTTTCTAATCAGCGTCCATATGGGATGCTGGCACTGTAGGTGGCAGCTTTACCCGCTACACCACGGCGCCGGCCCCCATGTTGCTTTTTCATGTGCATGTATGCCAGCCTGCACATCTGGAACCAGCTGTGAGAGTTTTCCCGGGCCTTACTTTTCCCTTTTGTGGACGTTCTGAAGAGCCATCTGCATTTGGTCTTTTGTCCCAATCACTGCAGTGTCCTCCATGGTGGCTGCCTTCCACCTGTCCACTCCCCCAGTGATGGACGCCCAGATAGTCTCCAATTCCCTGTGGCCACAAAAACACAGCAGTGAGTGTCCCCAGAAGTGGAGCCAGTGTTGTGGCTCAGTGGGTTAAGCTGCTGTTTGGGATGCCCACATCCCATATCAGAGTGCTGGTCCAAGTCCCAGCTCCTACACTTCTGATCCCACTTCCTGCTAATGTGCCTGGGAAAGCAGTAGATAATGGCCCAAGTTCTTGAGTCCCCATCACCCATGTGAGAGACCTGGACGGAGTTCCAGGCTCCAGGCCTTGGCCTGGCTTAGCTGCAGCCGTTGCTGTCATTTGGGAGTGGACCAGCAGATAGGAGATCTCCATGTCTCTGCCTTTCAAGTAAGGCTGTAAATAAATAAATACAATTAAAAAAAAATGGAGCACCCTCCTCCCCTTGTGGGGTTGTGGGAGTGTTTCTTTGTGATGTACATACCCAAGGACTGGATTGCTAGGTTATAGGACCAACGCAGCATTAGGTATTGTAAGCGACGCCAGGTTGTTCTATAAAATGGCTGCACCATTCTGTATCCCCACCAACCCTGTGTGACCAGCACTTGGCCTTTCCCAGCTTTCTGGTTTTTCCAGTTGTTATAGTTTGGGAACTTACCTCTTAGTGCCCTTTATAGGCTACGTTACAGGGCAAGTCACAGCAACCCAGTGAGGTGGGCACTATGCCCACCAAGTACAGTAGATTCTTCAGCTCAGAGAGGCTGAGTAACTTACACTACGTCACACAGCTAGTGTGGAATTGGGATTTGAACCCAGAGCCCACACTTTTAACCACTATATTGTTGTCAGGTTTTATCTCTCTTCTGAAATATCTGGATCTGCATTGCAAATTTCTTGGCAAGGACTGTGTTTTAAACCTCTTTGTGGTCCCTGGGGAACTGAGCAAATCCTGTAGGAGACAGTCAGTGAGCCGTTGTTTCACAGATTTGTAGGAGACAAGTGAAAAGTGGAGAACTACAGGGTACAGAAGAGAAAGAGGAACTTGTCTGAGCTAATGCTCTGTGATGGTGCTGCCTGGGGACAGTTAGACCAGTGACCCTGGGCTCCTGGCTCCCCCTACCACCTGACCCCCTGGTTGTCTGAACTAATGCCTGTGTGATGGTGCTGCCTGGGGATGGTTAGGCAGACCAGTGACCCTGGGCTCCTGGCTCCCCGCCACCACCTGACCCCCTGGAAGCAGCTGGTTATGTTTAGAGAACAGTGTGATGTTAGGCAGACATTTAGGGAAAGGCAGTGAGGGATTGGAATCCCACAATGCCTCAGCAGGATGGGCTTCTGCACCCAGTTGGTGAGGCCCAAGGAGGTAAAGAAATGCACTCAAGAGCAAACAAAGACAGAGCTGGACCCCAAACTGCCTCTGGATACAGCTGAGCGATTTTTCCATTACCGCCCCAGAAGACGTTCATGGTCGAGAGGCAGGGAAGTGTTTTTTCTCATGCTGTTCAGTCTGAACTGGGCTGAGGTTTCTTGGTAGCAAAATCAGCCTCTTCTTCCTTGCAGTACCTCCTTGGACCCTCGAGGATGTATGACCACCCCCGACCCCTTTTCTGGGAAGAAAGCCTCACCTCTGTTGTATGTAAGATGGGGATAACAATACCAGTCTCCAGAGCTGCTGTGATGACGGAAACACAGTGCAGATGCAGGGCCTGTGGCACGGCCCCAGACGCAAGAGACTCTCCCCAGCAGAGCAGGGCTGTCAGGCTGACCCTGAAAACAGTGTAAAAGCTGACCGTCAGGGTGATTAGGTCTGAGTTAGAGCTTTCCGGCGACCTGGCAACCTTGTCTTCAAGGAGAGGAAAATGAATTGCATTTTGGAAGCCTCTTTAGTACTTGCAGCCGTCAAAACCTGTGGTGCAGTGTGAAGTGGGGTTGGAAAACGAACCTCAGAGGACTTCTGGTGGCAAAACGAGGGGCATTCGCTCTCTCGCGTTGGATGCGGCAGGGGGAGTACAGGAGAAGGGTGGCTTCAAAGAGGATCGTCTGAAAGTGCTTCTCATTTTCCAAAAAGACACTCCTCTGCTGAGCCCTCAACAGCTCAGCGGGGGGAGAAATCGCCCTGCCACCCGCACTCACCCCTGCTGGGCAGGGGCACCTCCCCAGGGTGCTCAGAGAGGCGGCAGAAGCAGCCAGGGCTTTGGAGCCAGGGAGTTGGTTCATAGCCCGGCTCGCTGCTCAGCTCTCTGAGCCTCTTTCTTCGTCTGAAGATAGCAACACAGGGGGCCGAGCGGGTAGTGTCTGGAAGTCGCGTCGTGTGCTGCCTGGCCTGCAGTAGACCCCTGTGAATCGCAGCTACGCCTTGCTGCTGTGGGTGGAGAGAGCTGCCCTTGTGCAGGAGCGAGCCGGAGGCTGGAGTCAGTGAACTCGGTAGGGTCCCTACCCTGTGCTGGCGCTGGCAGCTGAGCAGGGCTCTGTCCTCTGCAGTGCGATGATCGGGACCTCCTCTGCTCCCAGCTGCTCTGCAGTTGCAGGTGGGACAAGAGTCCAGTTGAGGGGCCCTCAAAGCCCTAGCTAAGCGTCTGGAGATACATGAGACATGACTCTGGGGACACTAAGTTATTGCCCGAGAAGCTCTTGTCACAGATGGGCGGCGTCTGTGGCAAGGTGGGATCTAGCCTGGGAGCCCAGCCTCAGGCCTGTGTCCTAGCTCTGATGCCCCCTACCATAATGAGCTTCCCATGACCATGGGCTGCCCCTCTGGCAGGCACACCACACCAAGCATTCTTGTCCTTTTGAGGGCCATGCCCCAGATCTAACAGTGGGAAAATTGGTGCTCAGAGAGGGTAAGTGACTTGCCTGAGTCCTCACAGCCAGGGTTCAAACACAAGTTCCTGCCCCATCACCCCAAACACAAAGGGGTGCGGAATGAGCACCTTTGCTTGCTCCCTTTGGCTCCTCCCTCCCTGGGGAACTGCAGTAGATGCTGATTCTCTGCATCTGCCCCACACCCCGTGAGGTGAGCACGCCAGGCCTCCTTTGCAGGCGGCGGATCGTGTGCCACCATGGAACTGGGGCCTCTGGAAGGGAAGTACCTGGAGCTTCTCAACAGCGATGTTGACCCCTTGCGCCTCTACCACTTCTACGACCAGATTGACCTGGCTGCGGGAGAAGAGATGGAGCTGTGCTCAGGTGGGCTCTCCTCCCTCTCCCCGCCCCCGGTTCCTCCCCAACCCTACAACCGTCGACCGTGGCCGGGGAAGCGCTGGCCACCGAGAGCTGGTCAGCTCCAGCACCATGGACAGCTCCCACGTGGGCGCCCACTCTGCCCGCCTCTCCCTCCTCCCCACCCGCCCTCTTCCTAGATCTTTCCTGCTTCATCCAAAGGGCTTTTCCTCCCAGAACCCTACACGGACACCATCAACTGCGAGCAGTTCAGCAGGCTGCTGTGTGACATTGAAGGTGACGAAGAGACCAGGGAGGCTTACGCCAACATCGGTGAGTGCAGAAAGAGGGCCGCTCGGGAGAAAGTTCTCTGTTAGTCAGAACTCACAGCAAGGGAGCTGCAGGGCGAGGTCCTGGAGGGCAGACACTGCAAGGGCAAAGGGGTGGGGAGCGAGGAGGGGCACGGCGCCTGGAGAGGCGCACACAGTCCCCTGACACCCCCTCCATTTCTCTACCTGCCTTGCTTCTTGCTCTTCTCTCCTTCCTTCCTCAAAGCCCACCCCCTGCACCCCACCCCTCTCCTGCCCAGCTCTAAGGCAAACATCCGCCCTGTTTGTGGCACTGAACAGCACAGGGAGTCGGTGCCGCGAGGACCTCCCTTGCCCAGATGAGGAAGTGGGGTGAGAGAGGCGCAGCCACCTGCCCACGGCAGCACTCAGGACGGTGATGGGCAGGTCGGAAGTGCTTGCCCAGTTCTTCTCAGGGTCCCTATTTTTAACATAGACAAGAAAGTGTCTGGGGTTAGGAGATTTGTGGTCACTAAGGTTGAGAAACTGGCGTGCAGCCTTCAGAACAGACAAGCACCGCACTCTCGGGAGAGGTGGGAGTGTCGTGGCTGTGGCTGCTGAGTTTTTTTCTTTTTTGAAGATTTCTGGGGTAGAGGATGCCTCCCCACCAGTCACCACTGTCTCCTAACAGCCTTTGTTGAATTAGAAAAAGGTGCCCCTCCTTCTGGAGGATGCGACTCCAACCCCAGGAAGAATCAGCCTGGCTGGCAAAGCGCGGCCTGAATTCCTGTTCCCTTTGCCCTCTTGGCCGGGCACCCTTGTGCAGTGGACAACCTGTGCAACTGTTCTTCCTAACCCCTTTCCTGGTATCCCAGAAACCACATCAGTCAGGAGGTCTGTAGTTGGCATGAATGTGGCCAGTTTCCCCTCGTGCACAGTTACTCTAACATCACGTAAAGGCAGACAGTGGAGGGAAGCAGTAATCGCGTGTGTCGCAGAAATGACGGACTCTTAGCTGAGATCCTGAGACCACGGATTCTGCCCTCACTGTTGGTCTTGGAGATGTCTAGCGCCACTCTGGGATCCGGAGGAACTGCAAGGCCGCGTTCCTTCTGAGCAAATGGGTGTTTTCGAAGGACTCTGGGTGCTGTTTTCAGATCCTGCAGGGTGGCTGGCAGCTAGACACCAGGCTCTCACACTGGCACTGGGCTCAGAGACCCTGCAGCTGCTGAGGGAGTCTTGGAACTAAACACACTTACAGGTTTTTCCTTTCACTGGGCAACAATATTGACTCCATTACCCTGTGGCACTAGTGCCTGTTTTGACATGGAGGAGAGTGGCCTCACTCTAAAACCTGGGGACCACTGGAGTCTTCCCCTCCCTCACCTTACAGTGAATCACAGAGGCTCAGAAGTGACACAGCCAACAGTGAGTGGGGACCATGCTGGGCCTGGGGTAGAGCCTCTGGTTCTCCACCTTCAGGACCCTGAACCCCTAGCCGCTGTGGCTGTCACAGTCACTGGAGGGTGAGCAGGTGGCACTACCCTCCACGGAAATGGTGAAGCATCAGGGGAAACCTTGGCCAGATACAAGGGCAGATGCTGAGAGCATGCACTTTGACAGTCCTACCCCACCTTGTTGAGCCCATCTCACCCCACCCCTTCCCACACCACCCCCATCCTGGGGGAGGGAGAATCCCCTGCTCCCAGGGGTCACTG